GGCCCCTCCGCCGGGCCCTCGGGCACGGAGGCGAGCGGGGCCCTGCGGACGGGCCTCCAAGCGGTATTGGGGAGCTGGCCTGGTTTGAACTCCCTGTCCGATGCTCAGCTGCAGGGGGAAGGTCGATAGGCCTCGTTTACAGCAAGAAACGTGGGGAGGTTTCCGTGGGGGCCGTTGTGCACTCCACTGTGGTGGCAGCTGTGCGGGGGAAGGCAGCTGCCACTGAAACACGGCGCTTCTGCCTACAGCCGTGCCAGCTTAGACGTGGCATCTGCGGAAGCGCAACTTTAGCTAAGTGCTGAGTGCCGCACACTGAAACTTACTGCGGCTGAATTGCCCAGTTACTGATGCACGTAATCAGAGGCTTGTGTTGTGGTGTATCTTTAGTTATCACAATGAATCTATTCAACACAGAAGTTCTCCTTTAACTAATGCTTAAACTTTGTTCCAACAGCCCTGTTTTTTCAATAGAAGTAGTTGTCCCAGAAGGCTTGAACTGTTGTGTGAATGATGTGTTGGTTTTAAGCCTCTTGAGGGTGGAGTAATGTGTTTCTTTTTGTTTGGTCAGGTAGCAGCGCTTTAGCAGAGAGCTGCTTTTTATTGCTTTCAGATTTAGTTTGGAGCACTGCTTTAGTCTGCGTTGCAAACATGTTAGTTTTTGTTTATAGTATTTTGAAGAATGCTTTTGAAAGTGAATTATACTACTTTTTAAATCCTATTTTTCCTTCAAGGTGTCTGCTAGGGTTATAATTTGTATGTCGTATGGTTGAATAAATCCGTTTTTGGGGCTAGCAAAGCATGCAGTTCTAATTTACTTCTTAATGGGATTTATGGACTCAGTCCAGGCTATTGATGGTGTCTGAGCTGTTTGCCATCTGCAGAAGTCAGAATGGGCATTGTCTGTCAACACACTGCTCCTTGGTTGCTTGGAGTGAGCGTACAGTCTGTATAATTAGAGCCGCTTTAGTTGTAATGATTGAGTCCTTTTGTTCTTGAAATTCTAGACGTGAGCTTTAGCCCTGGTCTGGTTGAACGCTGGGAAAAGGAGGAGCGCTGCCCGTTAGGGCAGAAATGGAAAACTACTAATGATTTTTTTTTTCTTTTATTCCTACATTTTCTTTAGTATTCAAGAAGCTATTTTAACATAGACACCAACTTCGGTGAGGAAACATTTATGGTGTTCATTGTATAAATGCATTCATGCATTTTAAAAAAAAGTTCCCTGCTGTTTAAATAGTAACTCTTCTGGGAGACATGGAAAAGCAGGTGTTGAAACATGCACAAAGGTGAAGAGACTTGTCTAGTATTGCAGTAAATTAGAAGCTACTACAGCTAGAACCATATTTGCATATTTGTTGCCTCCAGTGTACTGTAAGTGGTGAATTCTCCCAGGTGTTACAATCAATAACGAGAGCAGCTTCTTGTCACTTGATCGTTAGACCAAAATGTATTGTTTGGAATGCCATGTAGTTGTGAAATCAATGGCTCACTATGTAGCCAAAACACAAGATCTTAATCATGTTCAGGTATTGACAGAAAGTATGCCAAGGCAAGGAAATGTATGGTTAAGTTGTAGCAATATATTGATTCCACTTTAAACAGGTTTTGGGAAGCTTTATTTTTTGTTGCTTTTGAGAATGTGAACTGCTTTGGTTTGTTTGTTTAATCTAGGATGGATGCAACTCTGAAAGAGCTGACCAGCTTAGTGAAAGAAGTCTACCCGGAAGCACGGAAGAAGGGTACACACTTCAATTTTGCAATTGTTTTTACAGATCTCAAGAGGCCTGGATATAGGTAAATGGCATTTCTTCTCTGGGTTAATAGAAGACTTCAGGCACCAGAGCAGTAAATTATTTTTCATTAACACTGATTTTAACAAATCAAATTTCTAAAGTCTTGATAACAGACTATATGATGACCACTGCAAACTCTGAATTTTGCTTGGTGGACATTGTTGCTAATGTGTTCCCCAATGAACCTGTGTGCTGGAAGGCTTTGGTTGCTGTATTGGCAACTGACCAGAACACAGACCTACCGCTTGAGATAAAGCTTTGTTTCTGGTGATACGAGGCGTGGTAGGTCTTGTATCTGAGAATGCATTTGAGTTTTAGCAGTGATCTTGTTGCAGGTATCTATCTTCCAAAACTGTATGAGCTAACCCTTGTCAGCAGCCAGTGGATATATCCTGCTCTATAATCTGTGGGGTCTTGTTCTTTGTGTGTATGGAAGGGGGCAAGGGGTTTTCTCTAGTATTTAACTTAATACGGTAGAAGGTTCCTCCACCCCTCTGTCCCATCAGAAAGAGGATTTGGTGTAGCTTTTCTTGGTGCATCTGGTACTGGAGGGGGAAAAAACCCCCAGCATTCTGTGTACATAGCTAAACGCTAAATACAGCACAGAGGACAGCATGGGAAGGTTGTCATGAGCCGATACGGTTCCTGGTTTGGACATCTAGAGAGATTTGCCTCTAACTACCTTGCCTTTTCTCTCCTGCATGCAGGGTGAAGGAGATCGGCAGTACCATGTCGGGCAGGAAGGGCACAGATGATTCCATGACATTGCAGTCTCAGAAATTCCAGATAGGAGACTACTTGGATATAGCAATTACTCCTCCGAATCGTGCACCACCCCCATCAAGCCGCATGAGACCGTACTAAACTATTGCTTCTTTGTATGATGACATCTTCTGTTTATTCCTACTTGCTGTTCTAAAGCAGGCTTTTTTTTTTTGCTGTTCTAAGGCAGGCTTTTTTTTTTTGCTTTTGTTTCTAAGCAAGAACACCTGAAGACAAAGCTAAGCATCAGAAATGAAAGTTAACTTTTAAACCTTAACTTTTAGTTTATTTGTTTAGAAGAAACACTTAATCTTTAGCAGTGCCATCATCCTACCCCTGATTGTTACAGCTTGAACAGTAAGTCAGTGTGTCCAGTGTTTCAAGATTTCCATAAAATACAACCAGGAGGATTACAGGTGTTCTGTAGTTCTGTCTTGTTTGGAATAAAGATTGATGTTATTAATCTTTTGATAGCGTGGTGGTGGTTTGTTTTGTTTTTTAAAGTGAATTTCTGCAGAGACATTTTGAACTTGGCTTTTAAGCAGAAGTTGAAATTGAAAGGAGGGCCAAAGCCTTTATCTGGTAACTTTGGGGCTTGTTGAGTAGAGGTAGGTGGCCTAATGGGGATTCCTTGTGCAGGAGGATTTCTTAAACCGCAGCTGGCTGGATTCTGGAGGATGCGCATGTGAGTGGTGTGGTCGAAGGCAGGCAAACTTGGTGTTACGCTCCCTGCTGAAGCAGACATGCTGACAGGGAAAGTCAGAGCTGTGTAAGGCTGCAGGTCCTTCTGCAGTCTACTGAGGGGAGCCAGGGCAGGCCACCTCGCCTTCCAGGGGCTGCTCCATCTTGTGCAGGTGATGCCAATCCACAGATTGGGAGTGGTCTCAATGACACCAGTATATCCCAGGATACCGAGGTGCTGCTGAACTTACCTTCAGCACACCTGCACAGCAGCCTTACTTGAGTTCTGAAGGAGCTGGTGTCTTCAAAAACAGAAGGTATAAAGCTCTCTGTGAAGGTCTTGCTTTTCTTAGAACAGTGGTCTCCAAACTTTTTGATCATACACCCCTATCAGTAAAAAATTTTTGAACGTGCGCCCTCAAAATTGTTTATTTATAAATTACATACATCTACTACTGTACTAATGTTATGTCCATTTTAAAACTACACAAAAATAGAAATGAAAAAACGCGAAATAGTTAAAAAATATTTTAAAATTGTATTTATTCATGGTACAAAAAATACTTTCTTCCTGCACCCCACTTGCATGTGTACCGCTTTGGAGATTGTCTTTGGATTGTCTTGCGCACCCCACCTTGGAGACCACTGTCTTAGAAGATGGGGATATCTGCAGAGGCCTGGCCAGAAGAAATCTGGTGTTTTCAGATGGAGGTTGGCTAAGGAGCATGTAGAACTACTTCCTGATGAAAATGTAATGGCAGGTGCTCTGCCCCGAGATGCTCTTCCCTGCAGCTCAGGTGAACCGAGAGGAGGTGAGGCAGCAAGTCTGCACTCCGGCTGTTCGTGTGGGAGTCCTGACCCTGACCACTGGGTTCTTGGCCAAGCGAACCTGCAGGGTGGAGGCAGCTGGCTCGCATACCTAGATCTCCTGGGCTGTTGACCGCAAGCAATATATTGTCAGTGTACACTGACCAAGAGAAAAACACTTAATTTGGC